TTAAAATCCTTCATTTTCTACAAAAAAAATAGGGATAGACATATATTCAAAATTATTTAATTAAATTTTATCATTGTATTTTTATTATTAATGGTAAAATAAACGTTTTTAACTCTTTATACGGGATAGCCCAATTAAACTGCAATTAACTTTAAACTACTTTAAATATTGGTGTCACCACGGGCGAAAAGAGGTAAGGGTAGGGACCTTACCTTAAATAAGGCCATAAAATAAATGTATAAAATTCGCCTTTATAATCTTTTACTATTTTACATACATATATTTCTTAAATAAGTCAGACATTAATATGATAATGTCATATCAGAATACCAGCGAACAACTAGAACAGTTGTTAAGAGATCATAAGATGTTCGAACTTCTTGTTTCTGTTATGTCCCGAGGAGAGTTATATAGTACGAAATATAAATCGAATCACAAAATACGAATACATAGGTGAGGATATAGATCAGCTATGTGATAATTGAGAAGAAGAGAGATTTTTTGTGCTAAGCAGTGAATGATCGAAACTTGCCTGTATCAAGGCGGAGAAACCGTGCTATTTTAATAGATCCAAGTAGCCAAGTATTCATGGGACTCCAATTGGTATGTACATTCAAACATGAGACCAGATGGAACTGTGCTTACATGAATGCGGATATTTGACGAATATTATTTTTCAAGTGTTCACATTTGTGCAGAAACTCATCTATCGACTATAGCACTCACTCCATACTATAGCACTTAAGGCCGAAAATTCGAAATGAATTAAAAACATTAAATTTTTTTCGCAGTTTTTTCTCTTGGTTTAATAAAATTCTATTTTAAATAAAAGCAACAACATTTTTGAAAAATTGCAGTTCAGTTAGCTACCCTACATAAATTAATTTACTTCTTAATTTGTTTCTTACTCTTAACAGTAGAAGCAAAATTATAGACACAATACCAAGTGTGAAATCACCATAACGTAAGTTGTCCAAGTTTGAAAATACTGAACCTATTGTTTCAATGAAACTGGAACCCGAACCACCACGTAGACCTAAAAGACCCTATAAAGAATTTATAAATTAGTTCACAATATTTTAAATAAAATTATTTTATAAAAAAAATACTTTTATTTGTGAAGTGCCAATAATAACAGCAGTTGCAGAAGTAAATCCAACAGTAACTGGTAATGAAATTAAATCAACTAAAGCACCTATAGAGAAAAAGGAAATTAAAATCATATCTATGTTAACAAGTATTACAAACTATATATTTGTATGTAATATTAATTAATATAAATTAATTTCTTGTTTCCAATGCACTTACCCAGTCTTAGCACAGCCATAATTAACTCAACAATACCCGATATCAAGCATAGCAGAATCGCATACGTTGGACCAGAAGCTAAACCTAAACTTGTATGTCTACTTGTCATTAATGCTAATAAAGCTGTAGGACCAATAGTAACCTGTCGACAACTTCCCACGAACGCATAAACAATTCCACCAATAAATGCAGAATAAAGTCCATACTAAATTAAAAAAAATTTAATTTAAATTTAATTAAATCTTTTATATTAAATGCATTGTATTTCGTTTTGGTATTTTACTTGTGGATCCAAACCAGCCAGTGTGGCATATGCTAAGCCTTGCGGCAGCACAGTTAATCCAACTGTTACGCCAGCTATTAAGTCAGCAATAGCATCCTGCGGTGTATATCCTTGAAACCATTTGATACCTGGAAATACTAGTTGTGCCAGCCGTGAAATTTTCATTTTTTATATACGAAATCTTTGTTGCGTGCGTGCCGTGCAATGTATCTTAACTCTGAAATTATATAAATACGACACAATTTAGTTATAAAATAATGTTTTTATATTATAAACTTGTCATATATATATTCATGCTTTAAATTAGATTGTTCAATAGTTTTGTAAAGCATTTATTGTCAATACTCCGAAAAGTGCAAAGACAATTTAGACTATACGTACATATATGGTATATGGAGATTTATAAATAATATTTATATGAAAAGCAATCATTCATTATCATTAAAGCTATTAACTTATGTTTTCATTCTAAATATTAAACTAATCTATAATAATTTCGTATTTAGTTTATATTACATAGCAAAAACTATAGAGGCGTATTCATGATTTTAGGTGATATTGGTAACGTTTCACATGGCTTATTTATATATTTAAAAAATAAAACTTTCTTAATTGAGAGTCAATTTTAATCTATTATATATTTGCCAATATTATATATGACCTTATCCCACTTTTCGGGTAGCTTTACAATTCCAAAGGTGTACAACTTCAATGGTTTATTGGCAAAAAATTTGTCCAAATGATTTTGAGCGGCTCTTCGGTCGGCTAATTTATTATTAACACAGTTTGCGAAAACCGAAATATATGGTGATCAAACGGTGTGTGGTTCAGGCTATGCGGTTAATGTATTAAAACTTCCCAACTAAGTTCCATAAAATTTTTCCGAGACATCAAAGATGTAATTAGTTCGGCATTCATTATCATGATTGAGCATAACTGCTTTCTGTTGCCTAGTTTTAATCGTTTCTATACGTTTAAGTCATTCAAGTGATCGAGCTGTGAACCGTTACAATGAGCTAAAACAGCTCGTTATTCCATTTCATGCCCACCAAACACTCAACATAGCCTTGTTTACCATAAAACCATGTTTTGATCTGCTAATCTACTTACTATAGAAGTTACTATATTTGTTCTGGATAATAATAAAACCACTAATAATGTTGTTCTAAAAGTCTGTTTCTTGTCCTTCTTACTATGTTATTTGAGACTACTCATAGCTTGCAAGGTAGATATATCTAAGAAAAATCGGTATATAATATAAATAAATGCAATCACAATGCAGATTTTAAATTAAAATCTAGCTGGTTACTTAAGCTAGAAACCCCAGAACAACTACAACGAATTGTGATTATGATGTCGTCTTAATTTCATGAATTCAAAGCCAGTATTATATAAAAAAAGTTTACTAAAGTTTACATAGACTATTAACGTTATAAGCATACCAGCAAATAATTACCAATATTCTGAAAGTCCAGAGAATGTGGAAAAAAGACGACTTAAGGAAATGATTGTGTCTTGGCTTGTTATATATACGCTTTAAGACTCCACATACGTCGACATATTACGTGATACCTACTACAAATCTACATGACGTTTTGCTCCATCTAAATCAATAGATCTATGTATGCTTTATGATAGATTATTACTAACGCATACTTAACTCAACTACCGATATGTAACAAACTCAACATGTCTAACTAACTTCCCTCGAATTGCCATCTTTATTTTAAAATTTATAATTTAAATAATACAATGATAATATAGGAAAAGAAAAGATTACATATGTACATAAAATATGTTACAGTAATTATGTTAATCAGGCAGAGACAAGAAATAGTACATACAAAAAATAGTTTCAACTTAAAAATGACATCTTACATCGATTTACATTTGTTAGAAAGAATATGGTATTGACAAATGGAAACAAATGACACAAATAGAAGCAGATAGTAAGTCAAGAATTTGCTTTTGGGTATAGAACGGTCTGTTAGCATATCTGCTATTTTCAGAGTCCTTAACTTCAAAAAACTTTCATCCTAATCATTATCCATTATTGCAATCTTATATCTATAAGTTTTATTTATTTAATCATATATATATTTATTAAATAATTATGGTACTATCAAAAATAATGTGTATAAAAAAATTCAAGTAATTTTATGAAACTGCTATATGCTGGGTTTTTAGCCCCTACAATAACTATTTTACAAGTGTACAGATATAAATTAGTTAAGTGTTTATTTACATACTTATCAATTTAAATTTACTCAGTACAATTTTATTGATTTAAAAGCTATTTTAAAATTACATATTATAAGAAAGCAAAAACTTTTTTGATTAGTCATTATATTTAATAGATAAGAACATTTTTCGTTAAAAAAATGTTTAATAAAAAAGCTTTTAGAAAACCGTGTTCTAAAATGAGCACATGCTGATCCCAGAAACGGTTAAATCTACGTCATATAGCCAGTAGTCTGTTTTAACCTACAGCTACTAAAAACGGTGGATTACAAGGATTGCAACAACAACAATATGTGCTTATGCTGAAGAACTTAAACCTTAAGTTCTTTAATGCACCTTAAGTAACTTTAATGTCTGACAGTCTTAAAACTCAAGATTAATCAAAATACCAACGGTAGTGAAGATATATTATTCTATTTATTAAATTCAAAATTATTTTATTATTAAATTCTTATTATTTTTATAAATGGGTTCTCTTTAAAAAGTATCGAGGAGTTAAATATTTTTTAAATATGGTAACTTTTCCATCTCATAATTATGCTTTTCCCAGCTCAGGAATACAGGTTCACCTCCTTAAAAAAAATCAAATCAGTAAAAAATATTAAAGCAAATTTATATATATATATATATGAGTTCTGAACTCATATATATATATATATTCTTTTCTGACATCGGTCAATATATCAAAAGTGATTACTTCTTTGCCTTTTTGCTGCTGTTTAACTGTCCGCATGAATTACATACGAGAAAAGCAAAACCCAAGCATTCTTAATGATATTTAGGATCTGCCTACACCTAGATTAGTTTATTTGAGTATTCGTTTTTTATTCCTATTAGATTCTTATACACTATATGTTCCAGAAAACACCCCACCTCTTTAGTGTTGATATGTAAAAGATGGTTTCCAAAGCAGATTTGATTTTTTAAAATTTGTGATTGTGACTGATATGCTTTCAAAACTTCATAACGTTTGTATAAATGAAAACGGAGTTATTGCATTTAACAGTGCATCACGATGTCGATAGAAGCATTTTCTCTTATCAGCAAACACATTTTTCAGAGAAGATAAAGTCGCACGGAACAAATCTGTTAAATACGGGAGATAATTAGCATTTGGAATACTATTGTTATCTTAAAAATCTTTCAGAAATGCTGATTGATCAGTGCAATTTTTCGTCTTTAGACAACTTACGCGAAACTGTATAATAAGATGAAAAACTAAGCATCCGTATATGGGTTAAATCAATAACCAATAGAAGACATTACCTATAAAAAATAAAGTAAAGAGAAAATCTGAAGGAAAATTAAGAATAATATATATATATGTACTTCTATATTATAAGATTTTGACACTATATAGTTTCCTAGGCACCGCGAGTTGATTCCGGATTTCAGTAAAAACAACTATTTCTTTTTTGTACAACATACTAAAAAATATCGATGTTTTTAATGCAAATATAAATATGCTGAAATAGCCGGATTCTTGAGATATCTGATTTTGAAGTACCGAAGTTTTGTATATTCGTACGTTACGAAATACGAGGTAATCAATTGCGACGAAATTTCTATACAACTTTATTGAAAGAGAGTGAAGGATAAGCTTTTTTTTCAACAAAAGGTGGCGCTGGTGCTACCTAACATTAATTATTAATGATTTCTTATTAATCATAAATAATAATATTATATTAGCATTTTATTGACTAAAATATCAAGGTGTAATGGAAAAAGACCAATGATGAAGATTAAAAATGGCTAAATGAAATTGTGGAACTGATGAACAACGTGTTATTTAGAAATTAAAAGACTTCGATTAGTAACAAACACAGCATATAGAACAGAAGAACCAATACGCGTATTATGGCCAGTACTCGTCTGAGTAGCAATTTCTGTTGTGGTTAACAGAGCATTTAAATTTATATTAAATTAATTTGTAACGTCCGCTTAATTAAGATTTTTAGTTAAGATTCTTAACATTCTTTTAACTACTGTTTTTAGTAGAGAGGTTTTTACTGAACACTAGTGAAATTGCAACAACAAAAATACCCTCCACCAGTGGTCTTGGCATTATTTCTTATATATAATTATTTAAAAAAAATTGTTTTTAGACTGCAAGTACCAAGAGTTGCACTCGTGCCCTGCTAAATCTAATGCTCAAAGTCGGTGTTTTTTAGCCAACTGACACAAAGCCGTGCTTGAGTTGTGGAGTTTTGTTAATTTGATGTGAAAGTTCATTAACAAATTCACTGTGTTAGAACGAAATCATAAACCACCTGTAGAATAATTGAATTAATTAATTATATTTTTTATTTTTTAATTGTTAAATTTCAATGCTATTCTTTTGTAGAGGCAATATTTATTGCACGATTGTATCACTATTTTTTATCTATAGCACCTAATTTCTAGATTTAGTTCTAGACTTTATTCACAAAGCTTAAAGGGGCTTTGTTTAATCAATAGTGAAACTGGTACAATAGGACTGTTCTGGCCGCAGACCGGCTGTTGGGCAATTTTCACGTCTATTTTTTTAATAATAAAAAAAATCTAGGAACATAATACGGCGAAAGCAAAGCAAAGGAGGAGCAAATTAAATTTTTTATATAATTTACATTGAGTTTAATTTATATTGTATTTTAATTGGATTGTTGTAATATATTGAACATAATGAAGACTTAATTAGGCGACTTTGTGATCGCATACTGCTTGATATATTTCAAGAATTGTACTGGTAGGTATCATTCAATTTAATATTGTGTAAAATGCTCAAAGCTTATATTAACTTCGAATTATAATAGTTTATTTATCTAAAACATATATTTGTAAATATATTTGCAACAAAAATGATATGACAGTTATTAGCATTACAAATCAAAATAATGGATTTCAATATTAAAACACTAATGTATTGCAAATTCAGACTGTTCATTTAAAATATAATTAACGTGTGATATGTAATCCTAAAGACACATATTTATCTGTAAAAAGACAATCAACAACAACATTATTTAAACTTTTGAAGAAGATGATTATGTTTGTAATATTTGATTGCATGCGAAACAAAGCTGAATTCTAAAGAACAGACCAAGTCGCTATTGTTCCTGAGATACTTGTCCGAGTCTATATAATCCATCAAAGTTGTCATAAATGTTACTTTTAAGAATGCTGTATTCAAAAAAAATTAGGACAAAGTAATTTTCAAATTTATGTGTAATGATTAGGGTAATGCTAGAATTAAATATTATTTAAATGCATCACATAACAATTTTGAAATGAATAGCTTTACTTTTTAATTATGAATAAAAATTAATTCAGATGATTTTCTTTATATGACACCTATGAAATATCATCAATTGAAAACTGTCAATGGCACAATGGATACAGTTCCAAAAGTTACACGAAAAATTTTTTTGTTTACAAAACTAAGTGACTTGTTTGCTTTAAAATAGTTAGAGAATTAGATAGACCTCAAACGGTTTGTCATGGCCATATCTATACGTATAACTGAATTAATTTAAAAATGGACTTGTAATCATTATATATTTTGTAATACAAAATTTTCTAGTTATTAAAGAGAAAGAGAAACAAAATTTACAATTTAAAGAGCACAAAAAGAAGAAAAATACAATAAAAGGCTTAAAAAATTAAATAAGTAGATGCGCTAAAAGCGCACAACTTTCAATGGAATGGTTCCGCTATGCAAGACATGGATGCATCCAGTCTTCGAGACATGTCTGAAGACTGTTTTGCAAATATCTTAGCATACCTAATAGATCCTTTCCACATTTTGTGTGTAGATGGTATAGAAATAAATTCATTAACTACTCTAACTACTCTCTTCTACTCTAATATAAACATAATCGTGCTTTTTAAGTTACATTATGTACAATTATTTAAATAAATGAAATGCATAGCATATCATGTATCAGTTAAAAATGATCATACAGATCATATTTTTTTTTAGCTACAGTTATTTTATTTAATACAATTTGTAATTATATTTTTTATAACAAAATAAAAAATAAATCAATTAAATCAATTTTTATTACTACATTCAACGAGCTGTAAAAAACTAGCAATTTACTCGCATTAAGATTGGCTTCTTTTAAATACATTCTTTTATTTATACTCACTTATAGTTGTGTTAAATCTTATGAACAACCTTGAAATTATATACAATATACCGTCACAGAAGTACACTTTTACTTCAATAGAAATTGTTCATTTTCATAAAAATGCTTAAACTGAGCTCTTTGAATATATTGAATATATTGTATTGTAGAATTATGTACCAGAAATATTAACACAAGTGTTGGCCTACAATGCTCTTAACACATTTTCCCCAACTTTTTACTATACAATTATTTTAAAATTTAACAGCTGTGAAAATAGCTTTAAACTTGCCTAATATTTTTGATGTTATTTTACTTCAACAGTTCATAAAATTTCAGATACTTTAGTCACGTTTTAAAATTATTCAACTTTCGCGAGTACTCCTATGTCTTGCCGCTCGCGTTGCCGTTTGAAAACTGATAAAAATTGAATTCAGAACTCACAATTGACATCGGCATGAGAACTACTCGAAAAGCTAACAAAGTCGAAAGTTTTTAAGTAAAAACAAACCAGCGAATAAATAAAATAAGTAAACAAAGTAATGTAAACAAACTCAACATTACTTGCTCTTGATTCGATGCAGCTAGTAAAGAGTAAAAAGAAACTAATAATATTTAAAGAAATTTTAACAAAATAAAAGAACTTCAGATATAATTCAACTCAAGCGAATCGCAAAATATCTCTCGTTCTGACTCAGAATTATTCAAGTCGTTGATTTATTAGAGCAGCGAAACTCAAAATTCAAAGGCTTAACGAGTAGAGTAAGCGAGTAGCGAGCGACCATGTGCCTGCTATGCAATGTAGGATTCGCGCATTGTCATATGAGATATCACGGGATATCATTTATGTGTCTAAATAACCATCGTTAATAATTAAAGTTGAGGAACAAAATAATTTATATTTATGAAGGCGAGTACTCACTCTAATGTACATAAATATCAAATCACAGTCATATGAGTAGTCATGAGTTATCAAATATTATGCATGCATCCCATTAAAAATTTATTATTTTTGATTAAAATAATAAATATCTAAGAACTGAATAAGTTGTAGGATACTATTAGTTTATATAAAAAAATAACAACAACAATTAAACTATTGAATTGATTAAAGCATTGCTTTTTACACTTCATACTGTAATCAATAAGGAGTATAATAAATTTACCAATATGTTTGTCATGATATATAGTACATACAGTGGCTCACAGCTTATTTGATGCAGGCAAAAATTTTTTGAAAAGTGTTTTTTATTTCAAAATATGGTATATGGCAAAATTAAAAAAACAAAGTATACAAAGTTATTATTTGTAGTGTTGTAATTCATTTCCAAGAACAAAAACCCGAAAATCTTTTTCCATTCTTTAGTAATGCAACAAAAACCAAAAACAAAACAAATGAAAAATTCATGTCACAGCTTAAATGATGCAGTTAAGAATACCGTTAATATCGTCGTCATTTCAGACGGAAATAAAAATATTCTTATTTTGCGATCATTTGTAATCATATTTTTGAGGAAAAATACTTAAAAAATTAAAGTGCATGCATTTTATTAACCATGGTACGGGGTGCATCAACTGGAAAGCGAGATTTGGCATTGGATCATTTAAAAAAGGGAATTTCCCAACATAATATAGCTGAAATGATAAATCTACGCTCTTCAACAGTTCAGCACATAATTGAACACTTTTTATATAAAAATTGTGTAGAAAATATGAGTCAAAAAGCTCCCAATCAAATTTTTAAAGTAAAAGAATCAAGATGGTTAATAAACCAAGTTCGAAAAATACAACAACAAGCGCTCCAAAGTTGGAAGTATTGGACAAAATACACTTAGGAAAGACGTGTCATTCTAAAACCGTCCACAGAATATTGGAATAATCATATTTAAATAGAAAAATAGCTCTAAGTAAGCCTTTTGTAAATTTAAAAAGAAAAGAATCAAAAGTTGCAGTTTGTACAGGGTTTATAGAGTGCTACAGGGTTTAGAGAAAAAAAATTCATACAATTACAAAAAAATTCTTTAACTCGATGTCTCCATAAGTCGAACTTTTTCTTTACAAAATGGTACTTCGATCTATTTAATAGATCAAATTAGATAGGTCGATTTATTTGGGAAATTTAAGCTCTGACAATTCGTGCTAATGATAAAATCACACAAAACTTATTTCTAGCGATCAAATAAATAAAATCCTTTTCAATTGTTTATTAAAATTTTAATATAATGTTAAAGTTTTTGTTCTTCCAGGAGACACACATATAATTATTAGATTTAAACTTTTGTATATATGAAGTAAAACCAAAATGTTAGTGTAAATATTTCTTGATTTTAATTTGAGGAACTTGAAAATGAGATCTTTGTCAGAGGCTTTGTGGTCCAACGCTTTCTGGACACAGAAAATTTAACAATAGCTTTGTAGAATAAATTTTTGGCACGGAGGTACGGAGTAAATGACAATATTTTCTGAAAAGTGCATATAATTTTGGATAGATTAGTCATATCTACCTATGCCTCCATTACATTTTGGTCCAACAATCCAAGAAAAATTGAACTCCATATCTGGTTTTTGAATTTTACGCCTCTTATTTAATAACATAAGAATGACTTTTAGTTTAGAATGACTTTTAGGGTAAAAGCTTTACAAATGTTGGCAACAGTGGCCACAACTTTGGCTAATACGTACTATTTCAGAATTTTATCTGGGAACAAAAAAAGTATTTATTATTATTATTTATTATTATATTATTTATTATATATTATTGTATTATTATTATTATATTATTTATTATTATTAGTATTTATTGGTGAAAATTAAAATGACGTAAAACTCTTTCTAGTGTAAATATTACAGTTAATGTTTGGTGGTGGTTTCACCACAGATATACATATTACGATTAATTTCTCAAAAAATAGATTTATTCTTAATTAATTTAACAGTTACAAAATATATATTCAATCATATGATTTACACGATCCCCAGATAAGACTAAACAAATCTGGCCATCTAGCTCCATATAGAACTAGGAAAGTAATTAAATTATTAGGACCAGAACCTGCCTACTAGGTTACCATACACAGAAATTGGGAGTTCAAGCGGGCGAACTTTGCGGTTTTTACCAATAAAAAGAAGTAGTGTAAAATGTATGCAACTATGTATAAGTAATCTGAATGCATAATGACGAGAGGAATTCGCTAATAGAGCATTTTCATCATTTCTAAATAAACTTAAGACTGAACACATAACAATGATCATTCAATATTCACTGTTACAAAGTATACTAAGTCCATGTATATTGCCAATGCTCAGGCGTACCAAATACCTTTTTTGTACGATCAGCATTTTTAGGCTGTGATAAACTCTAAAGAATAATTATATACTTGCATTAGAAATTGTAAAATCTCAAGCACATTTTATTATTATTACTAAGTAACAACTGGTGTATTACACTTTTTACCCGTTGACTTAATTTAGCTACAGTGAAACTACTCATTAATGACATAAATTATAACTTATAGCGTTATTTCTTACTTACTATTTTATCCATTATTTTTGTTGAATGTTTGTCGAGAATCAAGTAACTCATAATCAATTTATACAGTACTTGTATTTTTGACCATAAGATACAATCTCAAAAATATTAGTATAATATTATTAATAATGAAAGTTAAAAATACTTTTTATATTTATTAATGATTATAGCACAAGTTGATCTTATCATATATCAAAAAATAATTTAAGTCTTCTCATAATAAAGCAAACCTAACAAGTCTAATGTTTTTAGTGATTTAAGTTAAACCACATTTGAATTTCGCTGACATTGTCATGCAAATCTATGCAGATGAAGGCAGCTTCTGTTTAAATGATTATAAAAATATTTTTGTACAAAATAAGATTACCGTGTTGTGTAAAACCTTATACGAGTATTAGAGTCCCCATGCAATAAAATACTCACATCAACCTATTAGCACTCAAATTCGAACAAAATTTAATATATTCTATATTTTACGTATTTTTAAGAACGAAACTATGACGGTTTTAAAATATCTTAATAAACTATTCTACCGGTACAATGTAGGTTTTGGGGTTCGGATTTTTTACTTGACTGAATGGATGGTTTTCAATTAAATATTTGAATGAGAATTTTATGTTTCTGCAAACCCCACTAGTTACTACATATATAAATATTTTTAAATGAGAACTGCATAGGGACAAAGTGCCAGGAGCGCAAACCAAAAAAAAGATAATTTCACAAGAAAACAAGATTGTAAATTTATTTAAATTTTTTTACAATAATAAGCTATAGTAATAACTAAGAGTGTTGTGTACAATAGAATTACTTCTTATAGGTTCATATAGGTATATAGTTATATATCAGAACTACTTGTATTTTTTAACGATTTGTATTTCTAATATACAGGTTGATTGAATAGTGGGAATTTTGTTTCAATAATAACAAATATTTCAATAAGGATTTATAGATCCTTCAATACTTTTATACCATCTCTATAATGATTTTCCAAAAGCCTGTAATGGATTCTTCATTCGATGAAAAATGATTTCCGCGAAATTTGAAATATAGAATATTCGTTCTTCCGAAATGCATTTTTGCGTTCAGTAAAACTTGTATTTCTACGAACTTGGATTTCGTAAACTTTCTCAATGATTTCTGGTGTTGTTGAACTTTTTGCACGCCTACTACGTGGTTCATCTTCAACGGTTGTTCACCCAAGTTGGGAATGAAGGAGCAAATTGTTTTAACACATCCACTTTTTTGTATGAATTTCTGTGGCTGATAAACCTTCCAAAACAAAAAACTTTATCACTACGTGATATTCGGTTTTTTTCCATTGCAATAAAATTATCGATATGACAGGTTGAAATGACTTGTAAAAAAAACCGAATTGACGGATCGAAATAAACATCTAAGTGCGTTCAGATGCAAGTTAAAATATCTAAATAACATATAAATTTTTCTACTAGTTAATAGGCGTCACTTTCGACAGTTTTTAGCCAACTATGCACTTTTATACAATACTGAACATTTAAATGAAATTTGGAATGGATCTTTCACTAACATGCACTTGCATGTTAGTTGCATTTTTTAGGATATCCATTTCCATTTAATTAAAAATTGTTTCTCTATATTATATACTAATATGTTTTTTTACATGATTTTTTTGGAGGAAAATAAAATTAACAAAAATCAAAGCATAGATAATGACACAAATACTGTTATCTAAACGGAGTTGGATAATCAATTTGAATTTAAACATTAAATTCTTTGATTAGCCATATTGAATAATTCATTTTTTACATATTCGCTTAAATGAAGCGAAGTATGTCTGTACTTCTCTTTAGTAACTCTGCAATCAGTTAAGAGTCGAGAAGCATTAAGA